ATATCTGAATTTATCACTTTTATTCTATGCAAGTGTTTCGCATAGCTTCCGTGTTTGGTCTTATCCTACTGATGGTGACAATAAAACTTCTTTCTTCATTTTAAACTCTTCAAACCATGGTTTAAACGATAAACAGTCATTATATAAATTTGTAATGCCTTCCTTTTCTTTGCGATGTTTCTCTCCATACTTCTTTCCATCTCTCCTCTGATTTAATTTTAATTTTCTTATTATGTCACCATATAAGCATTTATTATATTCTTGTCCGCTTACACTTGCTATTTTTGCCAGTTTATCAGCCTTTTCGTTCCTTCCACACCTATATGACCTTGTACCCATCCAATATTTATGTTATTTCCAATCCCTGTAATTATCTCTATATCATTCAATATTTCAAATATATTTTTTCTTCAAATTCTATTGTATTCATGAACTTCTCTAATTTATTTACACAACTTAAACTATCTGTTAAAATCATAGTTTTTTATACTTATTCATTTTAGCTATTCTAACAGCTTCACGAATAGCTATTAGTTCTGCCGAATAAATAGAAATAAACTCCGGGAGTTTATAACATATTGGTTATTTTTTCCTTTTCAATCCATATTGCACATCCAACTCTATGTGAAACATTATTTCTCGACCCATCCGTATATAAAATTATACTATTAGGTCCATCGTGTTCTATCCACTTTTTATACTCTTTTTGACTACAATCGTTCTTTTATTATAATACAGTTTTTCATAATATGGATGAACTCCATGGACTACGTTAAATTTCCTATAATCCTTTAAAATTGAAAACTGCTTAGATTACCTGGTACTTTTTTGTTTATCCAATATGTGCTCCTGTCTATACATCTCCATATTTCCATCAGTTTGTAATTCAACACAGATTCATTATTTATTATGTTTTTCAAAATATATTTATCACATAAGAGCTTTCGTCTTATTTCTAATGGCATTTCTCCACTTTCCAATAATAATACATTTGTTGGCGTTGACTTCATTGCTCCTATACATATTCTAAGACATCGATATTGAATCTTGTCTAAATCTTGAATTTTTCTACTGTTACTAAATATCCAAGAGCCATAATCTAATTTTGGTCGAATTAATACTCTATATAGGTTTAATGCTGAACTTGGATGTAAACCATTCCAAGTTTTATTTAACATTCTTAATATATTATACTTTTTTCTGTCTTTTTTTAATACTTTCTATATGTGTCTAGAATGCCAACTTTTGATCTAGATAAATTCCTAAAAATTTATTTATTTCTTGAACTTTTATATTATAATTTTTTGTTTGAATGCTTGTTGGGAAATTTCTTTTATTATGTCTAGTGAATATACCAATCGTACTTTTTTCTTCTGATAATGTTAAACCATTTTTGCTCAACCATAAATTGTATAAATCAATATTGTTTGTCATAATCTCCAAAGCATCTTTTAATGTTTTCCTTTCTACATAAATCACAACATCATCAGCATATTGTAAGATCTTTGTTCCAGGTACCCAAATTTTTTCTAAGTCATAAGCATATAAAGCATATAATAAAGGACTCAGTATACCCCCTTGCGGAAGTCCTTTGTATAAGTATCTTTCATATTTTCTATCATTCATCTCTATAACTATTTTTCTTTGAAAAACATTATAAATTATACTTCGTACAAAAATTAATGGCAACCTAACTTTAATAATTTATCCATTAAAATATTAGGTATTACATTGTCATATGCTCCCTTTATATCACTAAATAGTGCTACAACATATGTATTTTTAGAAAATGCCAAATATATGTCACTAATAAATATACTTAAATTATCCATTGTACTATGTTTTCTTCTGAAACCAAATTGAGTTCTTGGGAATATTTTATTATGTTCCAACCACCATTCTAGCCTCCTCTTTATCAATCTATCTTTTATCTTGGCTATGCACGAGCTTAAAGTTATTGGTCTATAGGCATCTATTTCATTTCTATTTATATTTGGTTTTCTTAACAAAATCACTTTATTAATATGCCAGTCATCAATAATTCAGGCCTCTTCCAATATTTATTAATTATCTTTAGTAATATTTGTTTACCTTTCTCTGGAAGGTTTCTTAACATTGAATATTGAATATTATTTAATCCAGGCGCTGTATCCGTTCTTTTATTCCAGGTTTTTTCTAGTTCCCATTTTGTAAACGGTTTACTTAATAAATCATTTTCCATTTCCGCATACCCATTTAAATCTTCATCAATATTGTAACTAACTCCTGGTGGTGCTATTTTGTCTACTAGAACATCTAATACATCATCACTACATTTTGATACATTTCCCGATTCACCCATATTTAGCATAGATCTTACCATTTTGAAAACTTTCCTAGCAGGCGTTTTAGGTTTTATATTATTTATATAATTATTCCAGCTTTCTCTTTTTTTCAATTTGAAAATTCTTCTTACTTTTGCCTTGAATCTATTACATTCCATAAAGTTTTCCCAGTTTGCATTATTTCTGTATTTTGCTTCTATTTCTCTTCGTTTTTAATTAAATCCAAGCACTCATTATCAAACCACATTGGTCTTCTGGTTTTATTCCTCACCTTATTAATTTGTATACTGCTGTTAGCTGCACTATCAATCCAATCTAATAATTCACTATAACTAACTTCTGTTGTAGAATTATCTATCTTTTCGCATTTTTCTTCTATAACGGATTTATATTTATCCCAGTCTGCTCGTTTACAATTCCATTTTCTTACTGATGTATTTATATATTTGTCATTTTTCACATTAAGTTCAACATGGATTGGAAAATGATCAGATCCCAGTGACTCCTTTTGCACTTCCCACTTTATCTTATTTATTATTTCTGATGAACATAAAGTTATATCAACCACCGTTTTTGTATTTTTGAATACCAGAGTCGGACTTCCATTGTTCACTAAATATAAATTGTTTTCTTCAATTGATTCCAATAGTTCATTACCATATCTATCACTATATGAGCAACCCCACGCATAATGGTGAACATTAAAATCTCCCATAATGATACAAGGTTTTGGGATTTTACAGAATAATCTATTCCATTGCTCTTTTGAAATATTCGTTTTGGGAACAACATACAATGATATCAAATAAATTTTTTCCTTATTAACGTTAACTTCTGCTGCACACATTTGACAATTATTATCTTCGACTGATTCAAAATTTATTTCATATTCCCTACTATCTATATTTTTATTTATAAATAATGCCGACCCTCCTTTATTATCGTTCCTATCTTTTCTTATACAATTAAAATTTTTTAGATTATACTGCCTATTCTTATTAAACCAGGTTTCTGATAATGCTATTATATCTAATTGTTTATTATATAACCACTCTTCTAAACTTTCTTTATTTGCATAAAACGATCTAATATTCCATTGCATTATTCTCATAATTTAATCCTTATATATATAAAAATTAATAACAATAATTAATTAATTAATTTAACATTACTTAACCAAATAAACAAATAAATACAATAGAACCTTAACTATCTTCTTATTATTTCTTTTTCAATATATATTTATATATATATATATATATAATTTTTAAATTTTAAATTTTAAATTTATACCTACATACTCACACATTAATCTTCGCTAAATAAATAATTAATCAATTCCTTCAGAATAAACCATTTCTAATGATTTTTTTTCACTACCTTTACCTAAACTTTCTAAAACTAATTCTAATTTTGTTTTTATCAAATTCATATTATCTTCTTTATTTACATCTATCCTATATCTCTGATCCTCTAGTTTTTTAATTATATTCATAATATCACTTCTCAATTGTATCCTCCGTGCAGTTGATATTTCTCTAATCTCATTTCTTTTATTCCTTCTGTTTGAGTTAGTACTATCATTTCTTTCTACTAAATCTACCCCTGACCGATGTTCAAAATTTCTGTTGTAAAAATTTCTCATATTATTCCTATTATATGGCTTATTTATTCTCATTAACACTTCTTTGACATAATATTCTTCTTTTTCCTTCCAATTTGATAGTATTTGATACCTATTACTACTTGATGTACTTGAATTCCGTGCAGTGGTATTAATGATTTCTGGGTAACTACTTTCATATGTTTTAAACTGATTGGTGTTACCAACTGCTTCAGCGTATCCATTGTTTTGCACTATCTTTCTTGTTTCGGAATATGTTATATTCTGCATTGCCATAATCTCTTTAATTTTTTTATTTTTCAAGTAAACCTCACAGCCTTTATCATCCGCTAGATGATTTCGATAACATAGACCGCATATCACTAATTCACTTTTACATACCTCCATTTTATGTTCCTCTGCACACTTTTTACAACGTATTTTACTTTTACATTGGGCCTGTACGTGACCATACCTCCAGCAATTGTGGCACTGTATTACTTTCTGAATAAATGGTTCAACCCTACAACTCACTGAATGTATATAAACTCTTTCCGGTAATTTATTACCTCTAAATACTATTTTGACTCGTTGTGATCTAACCTTTTTTGTTTCATTATTTCTACCCTTTAAACATTTAATTGCCAAAACTTCACAATCACTTCGAATACTGCTCAATATTTCTTTTTCATCTATTTCTGGGTCAATATCAAAGATAATTCCCGATCTCATTAATTTGTGTCTAGGTATATATGCATTAATGTTAAATATTTCTAATAAATTTTCTCTTATTATTCTATTTGCACTCTTATAATTTTTCAATACTATATTTATTTTATTTTTACCGATTGATCTGATTTCTTCTATATCTTTACTCAAATTTATTAAATGTTTATGAAAGATTCTTCCTACTGCCATTGGGTGAAATCTTCCAATATTTTTATCTTTACTCTCAGCATGCACTATAAATGGGCCTTCATCCGTTTCTTGATAAAATTTCATTTCTTTAATAGTTTCCATGTCCTTTACACACATATTATACCAATTATTATTGTTTTCATTGTTTTCATTTACTACTGAATTATTATCACTAGTTTGATTTGCATTTGCCTCTTCAATTACATCTGCTTTTAACTTTTTATTTGTACTTTCCGATCTGTCATTTATTGAATTATTACCAGTTATTACATTATTTTCATTATAAATTCTATATGTTTCACCATCTTTCCTATTAATTATTCCCGATTTATCTCTAATATTAGTAGTATCATTTACCCAATGAATTTTGTCACCTTCTGTGACATAATATGTATTATTATCCCACTCCAATTCATTTTCACTACTTGTATTTATATCAACATCTGATAACGATTGTGACTCACCGCCACCCGGGTCAGGTGGCTCGGTATCCATAATAACCCGTTATAATTTCTTCTATTCACTACAATCAAATTATACTATTAAATAAATATTTTGAACGATGTGCTCACTACGGCTGCCGAAACTCGACGTATTACAAACTTAATTAGATATTTATAGAACTTTTATTGCACCTCTAGATTTTCCTAGATAAGTAATGATACATATATTTACTAATATCAACCACTATACTAATACCTCAAGACATTTCTGCAAATTGTCCAATTTTCTTGAGAAAACTGCATGGATAGTAGTGCCATATCTTGCAATCGATAGAAATAGAGAATTATTCATTGTTTAACGTTCAAAATCAATGTTAGAGATTCTTCTGAACGAAAGTTGACATTGAACTCTTGAGCAAGAATTAATTGCGTCTCATTGTAATGAGTATTTGTATCTGCATTATTGAAATGGGTAAATTTTATAACATGCGATGTTTTTTTGTGGAGAAATATAAAAGATAACTCCGATTTCACCGGGAATATCCAGTAGTATATATAATTGGGTCAATAAATTGGCAGTTACAAAAATCTTTTATTTTACATTGTAGAGTTAATATTATATTAGCAATTTGAATAATATTTGAACATACATCTCTGGATGTTTAAATAATGAATAATTAAGCACCATTAATGAAGAAAGATATTATTATTGAAGTAAAACTTCTTTAGGCGCGATATGGGTGTAAAAATTTCTTTAGGCTACACGGGTGTAAATCCGTACAAATGCAACGAAAACGCCAACGCGAAGTTGAACACTACGACGCCGTAAGCGCTGATGTCGCGAGTATCCACTCCCGTCATGTCATGCGTAAGTCGAGCGCTAAACCCTATATGAACTTGCATTAATTGAATCACGTTTTTTATGTTATGTCCTCATGGAATAAGACTTTTCTTAGAGAATAAATGTGTCATGGAATATAATAAATTTATACTGAATCTCGTTGAAGACAAAATAATATCTACTGCCACGGATATTTATGTAGGTTGCCATGCGACAGATCAACAATCATACATTCGTCAGCAGTTTCACAAAAATCGGTTATTGATACCGGGGCTTTGCCGTATGAAATAATTTTAGTTCTGAATAGATTTTACATAATAACAACTAATATTGATGTAAGTGATGGCTTAGCTAATGGTTGTGTAGGAAAATTAGTGTACATAGAACGTGGCGATAATGATGAACTTCTACGTTTATGGTTTGAATTTCCTGGTAAGATAGGTAACAAAATAAGAAGAAAGCTGCACATCATATTCAAACTCTTAATATCAGTAGGACAGCTGTGCCGATTCTTAGGAGATCTTCATCTATTCCAATGAATAGAAATAAAATCATATTTGTCAAAAGAAATCATTTTCCTTTAGTGTCTGCTTGTGCACTCACAATACACAAATCACAAGGTGGTACTTTTGATAAAATTGTATATGAATACAATAAAACACATAATCAGCAGCTTCTATATGTTGCATTATCACGAGTTACCAGCATTAATGGATTGTTCATCATTTCAAAAAAATTTATCATGGAAGAAAACGGCCAGCAGGATTAATGAACTTAAAAACTGAATTCCAAAGACTTTCAACTTGTAGATTAATAACACAAGAAGAAAAATTGAGTGAGATAATAAGTTTGAACGACATTTTATTGTTTTCTTTTAACTGCCAAAGTTTACGAGCTCATTTGCCTGATCTGTAAGATAAAGTGCTACAACGTTGTACGTTTTTGTTATTTTCGGAAACTTGGATTAATAATGAAGAACGAATTGATATTCAGAACTATTACTGCGTTACCCAATACAAACGATCAAACTCAAGAGCAGGTGGTGTAGCTGTCTAATGCCTATCATTCATGTTCAGATACTCTTCATAATGCCACTCCTATGCAGTTTCTTGCGCCAACAATATTACTGGATATTCCTAATGAAATTACACATGTAGGTGATATTGCAGTTGTCCGCTGTGTGAACACTCAGAATCAAACATTAATTATAGTCGTCCTTTACATTTCTCCCAATAAAAACGTATCAAATATTATTAAATTTCTTCATCAGCAGTTACTTCATTTTTTTAATGAATTAATTGATTTTTTAAATAATAAATTTAATTTAACAATGAATAATTTTCCAATTGAATCAACCACAAGATATGGCACGACTATTGATGCAGTTTTTTCCAGAAATGTACATAGTTTACAAAGCAAAATTTATGTTTCTTATTTCAGTTATAAACAACCTATTATATCATATATGAAATATGATAGCAATTAATCTATCGCTGTTGTTTTAAACTGTGTTATTGATGTTATGTGATTATTAATAAATGATTTTTAAAATTCAAATATGTTTTTTTATTTTTATCTTAATTGCCTACTCATACAATATTAAAAGTTTTACTTCAATCGCGTGTGATCCTTACGCGCACTCTTTTTTAATTTTTTGCTTCGGTTACTGTCAATGATGGTATTATTAGTAACCTTATGTGCACTTCATGATGCCTCTGGCAGTTACAAATAATTTGGTCGTGTTATTATCCAAAGTAGGCTTCTTTGCTCTATATTAGGCACCTAAATTTACGACTGCCAATAAAATAACGTTATATAAAAATGTATATTATATATTCTTAGTTTTTATGTTACGCAGTAGACTTATGACTGTGCACATTTTGGACACATCTAGTAAAAGAAAATGACAG